ATAGATTATTTATTTTGAAGGGAAGATTTAAAGGCTTAAATTTCCAGAAAAATGTGATGAAATGAAAAGTGTTTTCATAGTTATTAATATATAATTGATGTATTTAGTGGGAAATTTGTGATAAATTATCTTTTAAAGAATATTTGGAAGAACAGTGAAAAGAAAATTATTTGAATGTTCTCCTTTACCAGAAATCATTCTCCTAATGTGTTTTATCTCCCCTTAATTTCCTTATCTTTCCACTAAACACATGCATCAAAGCAGTTAAAGAAAGCAAACAAACTGAAAACTGACAGTTAATTAAAAAAATTTATCATATATATGTCAGTGCACCTTACATACCTCAGTGCCTGCCCTAAGTTTCTAAGTTTTGTTGTGCTCAGTGCTTTATTAAATTCTAAAAATTCTGCTACACTGGCTTCAGCCTCAGTTGTGACCTTATATCATTTCATATTTATTTTCAGTACTCATATTATTAAAGAAATAAAATTAGCAGTTTTTTCAATAACTTCTAAGTATAAGTAGTTCTTTAGAATAATGAAAATCTTTAATTAAATTAAAAAATTTTTAAGTGAAAAGGAAGTTTATTGAAAAAGAAATTGGTTTTATAAAGAGAGCGAAAATTATTCTTCAAAGCTGCATTGTTGAAATATTAAGACATTTGGAGTTGAAGCAGATGCTAGTGGGAACATCAATTTGTTTACGGAAACAAAGTATCTGGAAAATTGTGAAGTTGAAAAAAGATGCATAAACATTTTGTTGTTGCTATGAAACATAAATTTTTTTGTAGCTTTTAATGTATAGTTATACTAATATCATTTTAGAATCATTATCATAAATTATAACTGCTCTAAAATGTTCTTAGTGCCTTTTTAATTTATATTTTTTAGAAATAAAAAATTACAATTGTAACCATGTAAATCTATTATGACTAAGAGTATCAAACTACATAATTTAATTATTTGTAACTAACTGCTCTCTCTTAGAAGTTATCTCTACATGTTAAGGTTAGTTATCTCATTTCCTTAATCCTTATTGAATATGCAAAATAAACACAAGAATGTAAAATTTATTTGTTGCAGCTAATGAGACTTAAAATAATGCAGAACAATCTGTCATATCTGGTATTTCAGTGGCTTATTGGAACTTTATATTAAATACTGTTTATTAACTGGGTTACAACTTCAAATCTACATGAAGCTATGGCTCTAAGTGGGTCAGACAAAGTGTAACTAACTTTCAATACCAACATCAAGCATTCATGTCTTCTGATCAGTGGCTTTCTGTTTTTAAGCAAGCAACTGCAGTGGCAACAACCAGGCTTCTGTTATTAGTCATGTTATTTTTATATTTTATTCTTGAATTTATTTTATAATTAAGTTAAATAGTAGATTATGTTTAATAATAATGTATCCTATTTGCAGATTTATTTTATTCTTACAAATCACAAAAATGAAGTTTTGGTGTTGATAATTGCTTTAGTTTATTCAGTTCCTATTTGCTTGCTACATCTTCAATTTTTTCATTGATGGTCCTTAAAAGTACTTAATATCCACATGTAGAATTGTGTACAAACTTTGTGGAACTAAACAAACAATATTTCTTGGAAAATTAATAGATAGAGCACTTAAATGATAGCCATTCTCTGTAACGCGATCACTTCATCCCAAAACTGCTTAGAACTACAGATGGCTGTTTTGAGGAGCTTTCAATACATAATTTCTAAGAACAGGAAAAGATAAGTTGATAGGATAATGTAATAAAATTAAAAATGTCACTGTCTTTTTCATTTTGTCATTTTTAAGTAAAATGGATTGATGGGTACTTATGTATTAATGCAACCATCTAGGTGAAATTTTGTGGTTTTTCTTGCACATGAATAGGTAAAAGTTACGTATCGGGTGCAAGTTGGTGGTTTTTGTGCCTTTTTTTAGAGATTCCCAAACTAGCGATATTTATCGACAGTCGGTAAACATTATCAACATATGAAAAGAAAACACACTTTAGCAATTTAAAATACAGATTTGAATTATTAAATAAGGATTAAGTGATACATTAAAAAATAAAACACATTCCTTTTTAAATTTTTGTGCACTATTCTTGTGAAGTAAACGGTGATCTGTTTTTCCTTAAAAAAGAGTCAGAGAATTGTGGAGGCTCAGCTTTGTGCAACCCTTGGCAACAGTGCTGTCGAGGAAATACATTTCTTTCATGTTCCTTTTGAAAAATTTAAGCAAAATTCTGTATTCTTGCAGGAATTTAACTATTGTTTCTCCCATTGCTGGCAAATTCTGCAAACTTATATTTTAAAACTTAAGATAAAAAATATGATTTGTTTATAAAAACTGTTGGAACTTGGAATACAACAAAAGAGAATGCCTATGAAAATGGTGGCATTGCTTAACTGATGGATTGTTATGAGCATGGTTGCTGGAAGATTTGTTGGCAGGGCTTGGCACATCATGAAAATTTGGCGACTTCTACTGAGGTGTTTCCATTAATACATAAGTACCGATTAATGAATATATCATTTTATTAATATAAATGTAATGAAAAATTTGAATTGAATATAGATCTTTATTAGAAAAAGCTTCTTCTTCCAAATGACTGTGTGTTCACAGGGTCCCTGGAAGCCACCAGGTCCCCCAGCTGCTTAATCTGCCTCTAGTGATGTCAGTCAAAACAATATCAGGTGATTTATTACTCGTGCCTGGCTAAAGTACTAAAATATATTATGGATGTAGGTTGTCTTATATTACCAGAATAAACATGATAGTTAAGGAGAAAGATGCTTCAATTGGGAAAGTAGTTAATTTGTTCATCGTAGAGTATCATCTTATGTATCCTGTTGTGGAGGAAAGCCCTCAAGATGATTATGGATTAAAATTGGACATGGAAGGTCTGTGAACCTTGAATTCAACATTTTGAGAGAGGGAAAAATCGGGGTCATTTTATAATCGTGTTCCAAATAAGTGCAGTGAGATATAGAGACAAATGATTTTAAATAAAACATACAAACGAAAAATAAAAGAGAAGTTAAATTTAAAATTTGAAAGCTTTCAGATTTTATATTATGCCCAAAGAGGCGTTTTTTAAATGTTTTTTGTGTTATCTTTATTTATAAAATATCATATTCTTAACACATAAACCATAAAATTCAATTTACCAGCCATATCACAAAATATTGAAAAAGAGCATATCTTTAGAATTTCCAATATGCAGTCTCATGCGCTGGAGTCTCATGCGCTGTGTTGGTGTGGGGCACTATTTCTTATGACAGCAAGTCATCTTTAGTTATTCTCAGTACATCTTTAACAGCTCAACGATATGTTTAAAGCATCCTGTGGTGGGTTACATTATCTTTCATAGCATGTCATTCTGGGGCAATTTTCCAAAAAGATAATGCCAGGCCACATACCGCTCGCATATCTCTGAACTGTCTTCGTGCGATTGATACTCTTCCTTAGCCAGCAAGGTCACCAAACCTTTCACCAATTGAGCATGTCTGGGACATGGTAGGTCACCAGATTCGGGCACCAAAAAATATTGCAGATCTGGAGTGACAACTGATGAATGCATCACAGAATGACATTAGGAACCTCCACCACTCCTTGCCTCGACAAAGCATGCATTGCCGCCAGGGGCGGTTCGACCAACTACTAATTTGAACACTCAAAGGGTGATTGTGAGCCATGAACAGGTACTATGACCTTGATTTTTTAATTATTTTATTATCTGTGTATGAGCTATACACTTCTTCAATTTCATCAAAAACAAGCATTTCCTTCATGGTGCTTCGATTTTGTTTTGCAAAAGAGTGTAGAGAGTGGGTTGGTAGATGTTCTGTATGCATGCAAAAGTTATCCGATCAGATATGTAGCAGTTATGGAAACAATTATTGGACATGTAGGTAATTAAAGTTCTAAATGAATGAGTCTGCTTTTAAAAATCTTTGGCAGTTAACATCACTAATGCTTTTCAAACATGGCTAAACAGAAATGTTTTTTGGATTATCAATCTATCAATATATTTGTATATGTAAATTATCACTAATTTGTTTGGATAAGTAATAGTAGTGGAGTGGGGTATAAATTTTTTATGGATAATTGCTGTGTTTCTAGGGAATCTTATGAAAAAAAAAAAAAAATTAAATTCTTTTTTGATAATTTTAGTAGAGAAAATTTTATTTACAAATAAATTTTGAATTTTATATACAATTATAATTGAGCAAATGTAATATGTTTCGATTATTTGGTACTGACATATTATCCTATTACAATGAAAATAGTCAAACCATGTCAAACCATAAACGTTGCTGGAGATTCTTTCAGTTTCATCAATTGTTTCTGCTAAATTCTGAAGGAACTGATACCTCTTTATGCATTAAACAATCAAAATTTGATACACTTTTCGTGCTATTTCACTAATTTATTAGATGACCAATTTTATTGGAAGTTTTGTTTATGAATGTTTATGGATTATCAAATGGAAGGGCAGATGTTGTTTCTGCTCTTGCATCATGCTTATCCATAGTTGGTGCTAAATCACTGTGCTTGGTGATAGTTTCATGATTGATGGGATAATGTTTAAGTATTAATTGTTTTAAAATAAGTATAAATCACAAATTCTCTGTTTGAGACTAGTACATACACGCAGCATTCTAGTACTTATGAAGTGATAAATTGTTGTGAGAGATTTAGAAATCAAATCATTGATCATTTCCAACACCTTACTATTATGTTAAATATATTAATCCGTACCATGATAAATATAGGGAATCAAGTAATGGGTAATTGGACTTTTAATGTTTTAGTTTTTAGATATATGCATATATTGTAAATAACTTCTAATCTTTTTCTTCCTTTTGATTTGTTTATGCTTTTATACAATTAAAAAAATCTTTTGTGAAAATTATATATTTAATTGAAGTAATTGTTCAGAATAATTATTTGAAATCTTAATATTAATTGTAACATAATTTACTGAATTTGGATATTTAGCTGATGATGGACAAAATTGATGATGCTGATAGACGGCAGCGACTGCTTCAGCTGGAAAGCCGCCTTATTGAAGTCAAATCAGAAATTAATGTTGATGGATTGTTGGTATGTTTTCAAAAGTATATTTTCCTTATCATGCCAGTTAGATATATTTTTTTTTTCTGCCGCAAACAGCAAGCTGTGAGAATTGCTTTAGTTGGATAATCAAATTTGGTGAAACTTGGTGAAAACGCTCAGTGAAACTTGAGTCATAAATAGGTGCATAATTTTAAATACTTTTTTTTTTCATGGTTTTGCAAGAAAGTTCTTTTAAAGTATTTCGAGTTTCTCTTAAGTGCTTGTTGTCAGTTCCTCTGTATTTTGTTTATTTCCATGGAATGTATATAAATTTGTATAAATGGCTGTAACACTTAAATGACAATTCAGAATGTACTTTGCTTCCTTATGTATCTTTTATTTAATATAGTTCAGTGGCTGAATTGTGTACAGTTCAAAGGTTAAAAAATTACATAAAGTTTTTTTGCCCCCAAAATTGCTTTCCTTCATTTTTCTATAAAAGGTAACAAGGATTCAACTCTGAAACCCATGCATTTTTTTTTTTTTTTTTTTTTGTGGAGATTGTATGTAATTCAATTTTATCTTAATGTCAGATGTCATCTGTGTGGCCTACTGTGTGACAGTAATAAGCAAAAATAGTCAGTGTACTTTGTAATGATCCCATTATCCTATTGAAAAAACATGTTATAAAGAGTGAAACAGCTTGAGCAAAAACTATTTTAGTATGCTCTCATCATTACATGAAAATCAAGAACTATAAAGAAATTTTATCTATTAGTTATGAAAAATTATTGATAATTTTGGTTATCAAATAAGCATCAGCAATGAAGTATAACATATATTCAAATACAGTACGTACTCTGAGATCCAGACATCCAATATCCAGGAATGATCTAAAATCCAGACCTCAAAGCCACCAACAACCCTTCTTTTTTAGGAATTTTTTGTATGCATTATACATGTACATTTGATGCCCCCCCCCATAATAAACATGTGGAGAGTCCCAATTCTTAATTTTTCTTTGGCACTAGATAAAATACCTTGTTATTGAAGAAACAATCATTTTAGCATAAATTTCAGTGATCATTAATTTGACTCTGTAGCTGCTGTGGTGTAGTGGCTGAAACCGCTACGCAAACCCTGGGTTGTGATACAGGGTTGAAATGAACTTCAAACTCAAGTTTTAACAATAACATTAATTTTAATAAGATGAAAACCTTACTAGTTGCATATCTTGACAATATGGGACTTGAATATATTTAGTCCCGTAATTTCAGAATTTTGTTACAAGAAAAATGCTGTAATGCATTATACACGAGGAATGATCATTTTTCGCAGGCCAACATGCCCATAGCTCTAAACAGGAAAAATTCTCCCAAACCACCTTATATATCTCCCTGTGTTTACTTGTGCTGAATTCCCGGGAGGGGGGAATGATTCTTTCACTCATACATAACAAAGTATCTATCTCCTGACCCTGATGGACTTCTTTTACTTCTTTCTCCACTGGAGTGACCTTTGAGGCTGCAACCGGAATCGTTAACAAAGGCACAGGGTTTCACCACTGATATGAAAACTATTGCAACCTGAAATCACTCACCCTCGACAAAGAACCTTTATGCCACCTTATCACAACTCCTCCCCTCATAGAAGAATTTTCCTAGACTATGAAAGGGAAAATTCTAAATACTTTTCACTGAAAATAAAATGATACGGTTCAGGAATGTAGTTGCACGTGAAGCACTAAATAATTGATGTTAGGACCTGTTTTCAAATGATCTACAGCATAAGAGATATGTAAGAAAAATAAAACTCACCCACCTGATGAATGCATGCATGCATATACTATTCATTTTGTAGAAATAACTGGCACAAAATACCACAAAACACCTTGATGCACAAAAGTTATGCAGTCGCATGTTGCTGGAACCTGATCACCGACGAATACGTTAAAGTTATCCAATACGAAAAAAATAATGCAAAAATATTCACTGGAATACATTTCACACATTATCACCAAATACTGTTATGAAAGAAATTCTCCTCTTCTCTTGAAATTGCTTGAATTTACTCCAATTAAAAGCACATGCTTAGATCACCATTTGTCGTAGTGTGCTGAGTGCGACAATAAATATTATGTAGAGGCTTGCCTAGGTTTTACTGTATAATGGATTACACAAATAGAGATGAGTCATTTTAAATAATAAACCATTAATCACAACATTTACCACGTAACTACTCATTAACCCTCTGACAGTTATGACCGGCTTTATCTGGCCATCAGAAGTTTTGCTACTTCGCATATATTAGCTTATAATTTAAGATATTTTGCTTTGTTACTTTCTTTAATGTAAATATCATCTTCATGAATGTACACTGCTCAAAAAAAAAAAAAAAAAATGGGACAGTGCTATATCTCCCATTGGGCCGATTGACAAAGTTCAAACTGCGTTTTTCATGTCTCGAAAGCGCGACTTAGGATATATATTAGATTTATATATAGCACTATTCTAACATAGGTATTTTGACACAAAATCGGACTTTTTCTGAAATAACATACCAATTTTTTTCCATATTTTGATTCTACGACTCAAATTATGCCAGAATACCAAGTTTTGTAAAAATTGTACAAGTAGTTTTAAAATACAGCTCTCAAATTTTAGCTCCTCAATGTTAATTCAATTGGGCAAATATTTATTAATATCTCTTTTTTATTAAACTTTTTTTGATTTTTTTCTCTCACATTTCGAAATTTAGGTTCATTCCAAATAGAATTTACCCATTTTTTGTTTTATTTTTTAAATTCTATTTTTTTTAAATAATTTTTATAAATTTTTCAAAAAAAAAAATTTGAATTATAACCTATAAAAATTTTTTACCATCATCTTAAAGTACATGTATTTTTAAGGACATCTGCAAAAAATTAAACTTTTTTATTCAAAATTTTCTAAGATATATGCGAATTTACATATTTTCGCATTTTGAAATTTGGCATCTTTTTTTTTAGTGATAATAACGCCAAATGTGGTCTATGGATTTTTGTTACAGTGAATTGCCACAGCTATTTTTAACCTTAACTTTCAAGTAAAATGTTACGGAGATTATATGACATTTTTTCCCTCAATGATGCATAATAAATATTATTAATACTATATGAAAAGCTATTTTTTTAAAATTATAGATGATATTATTCAAATTTTTAACTATTTTTTTTAATTCCTCTCTTTTTTTTTTTTTTTTTTAAATAAGAGTAAATTTTTGTAAGAGTAAGTTTTTTACCTTCGCCGTTTTATCGTCTGCTACTTTACTTCGTTTAAATCGAATTGTCTAAAACTGAGAATTTTCGTTTGATGTTTATTTGAATTTTATGACATTAACTGCATAATTTATTTCTAAACAAACTGTTGCTTTTGAAGTGGCTGAAAGAGTGGCTGATACTATCATATTTTAAAGCACAGTATATTTTTATAGAAACATAAGATTCAGAATAATCATTTTTATAAAAGTCAAATTATGATATAAACATACAACCCTCTAGAGACTGAATTGAGTTCAGTGGTTATGTAGAAATGATCTGCAGCTACTTAATGGCTGGATAAGTCAGCAGATTCTGTGGACAAGTAAGAATAATTATATAAACGACACCCAACATTCTGGATTCAATTAACAATGAGGATACAATGTTTATTAAATGAATTTAATAAGTTTTAAAACATAAAAAATCAACTCATTTTTTATCTTATAATGTATTTTTGTGCGTAGCGTATTTTTATTATATCCTTAAAATTCTAATTTAGAATGTAATTGTCAAGAACTGAATGCTAATCATCAGTAATATAATAAGTAATTATTACGGTTATTAATAAATCCTTCTTATAAAGTAATTGCAAATATTTCAAAAAACTTTCTGTCTGAATGCAAATATTTTTCTGTGCAAATATTTTTAATTTTATATTAATCAAGATTGCACATGATATTATTTATTTGCGCTTCAATTGTTACAGTCAGTTCTAGTAGAAGTTACAAATCAATAATTATATTTAATTAAGGATTGGATTGGATTGGATTGGATTATTTAATTATGCCAAAGCACACGAGGGCTATCTGCCTAAAGGGAGGGATGCCTTCGTGGATGACTTTCTAAGGGAAACTGGCTCGTATACACGTTACACATGGGGAAAACCACGAAAACGCCCATGCGGCCCGCCCATTCGTGGGATTCGAACCTCGGACCGAACTACCAGTGTTCAGCGTCTTTACCGCTGGGCCGCTGGTGGGCTATTTAATTAAGGAATGACCGTCTAAGTTTAGAAACAGCGTACTGTAACAGCAGTTCAATTATTAGCGCTGTATCTTTCATGTTACTCCCGATTGTCAAGCTACATGATTTTTAATGAGTATTCGGGTTTTGCTGGTAACTTCACTTGGAAATCGCGCTTAACCTAGGTTAGTTGGTTATTTGAACATAGAAAGAACATGGGAGCTATTTGATTAAGATGCTTTCTTAGAGAACCTTAATCTTAACCTTTTATTAAATCTCCAATTTAATGTTTTATTTGTAAATATTTAAAATATTGTTGTATTCTTAGACACAAAAAGCAGAATTTTTGTTAAATCGTTAGTAAACTACCAAGCCGAATTTCAAATGAATATTCAATTTCTTTTGCAATAATTATATTCACTTAATATTCTTGGAATATGAGCTAAAGAAGGAATGTTCTCGGAAGATTAAAGAAGTGTTTAAATCCAGTGATATTAGGTTTGTCTTACAAACTCAGGATCAAAATGATTCTGCAATTGCCCGAGTAGTTGACTTGTAAATGGCTGTGAATTAAGCAGATGACTTTTAATCTTACGTTTCAATGTATTCCAAATGTTTTGTATTGCATGACAATGCATCTTTTCATTATTCAATAACCAGTCGGAGAACCGCTTGTGTTCCGAAAATAAGTATGTGTACTCAATCGTCCTGCATGTTCTTCAAATTTGTCTTCTTGTGATTTTTTTTCTTTCCCCAAAACTAAAATTGCCTCTCAAAGGAAAGTTTTT